TATGTCCGTGCTTTATTACGTGATGTAAAAAGGTTAATAACATAATGTGAACATATATCATGGAGACAGTCACGGCGTTCCATATTATATCAACACTTTATTACGTTATGTCAAAACTCCATTCCTTTATGTGGATATTTAATAAGAATATGTTACCTCTTTCTTATGTGATTTAAAACTATCTTTACATTGTGTTAATTCTTTATCATGTTGATTACAAATGTTCATTACGCGCTGTAAAATACATTTACATTATGTCAAAGTTGATAACCGTGTTTTCAGGACTGGGAAGGGGGGGGGGGGGCGGTTTTATTAGGGCGGATTAATGACACCATATATGAGGGGGGGGGGGGGGGGGTCTGACTTCCTCTTTTTTCCGACATAACTTTATCATAGAAAATGTTCTTTGAAATTCAGACCCACTTTTTGCTGAAGTATAAGGGTAATGTAGTATATTTGGAATTTTTTTAAGGACTGATCGAAGTTGGACCCCCCCCCCCTCTTTTCACCCGAAATAGGATTTTCGAGTTTGGATTTTTTTTCGCTTTTTTTGTACGTTATTTTTTTCTGGCTGACAACCCTCCCCCAGCTTTCAAAAACGATGCAACGTCCACTGGAATTAGTAATTTTTCAACCATTCCAGGACCAGAATTCTGTTACAAAAATCTACGTTTTCACTTAAATTAACACGGGCTCATATCAGTTGCGATCTTGGGTTCTTGAAAAGAGTAGCTATAGGGGGACGATATGGTGTCTAAGTTGGGGACCAGGGGGTGAAAGCCCGAAAGCTCTCAGGCTTTAGATTTTTTTTATAAAACGTTTCAACTTATTTCAGTTATACTTTATGTAAAACTAATGCAATGTCCTACAAAGTAAAATCAATTGATTAATTTCATGCATATTTTGGTCACTAAAGATGGGAGGGCGGGATCCTCCCTTTCCCCACCGACCCACCAGTGCACGTATGAAATACGATGTATTTACACTTCTTTTTTTTAAAAAAAGGAGGGTTAAAGACTGATAAAAAGCTTAGGACAGTGTTTTGTAGTTAGATCAGAAGTTTCGGACTTTTCAAATCGTCAATAAAGATTCCATGGGAACATGATCCTATTTTTAATTTCACCTGATATTTAATTAAGGATTAATTAAGTCTTGTGTATAATTTAATATTTGATACGTTTAATTTAAATTATTTGCAAGTTTAACATATGTGCATGTAATATTAAAAACACAAAACGAACTTTTAGGCATAACCTAAACCTTACGTCACATAATAAAGAGTTGAAATATTCTAAGATATACTGACAAGAGGCTAAGCATTTTAGACACAGTGTAGAGATACAATGGCATAACATAATAATGATTTGTCAAAAAGTAAGGGAAAATTGACATCATGTAATAGATTCCCGGCGTCATGTAGCATATTGATGACACAATATAGTAAAGAATTGGCCACATGTGACAATTTTTTTCACATCATATATGAAATTCTGACATCGTGTTATAGCGACTTGATATTGAATTAAAGATAAGTTCACATCATGTAATGAACTACTTAGACCAAACAGTAGAGAGTGCACATAATGTAATAATGAGTTTAAATTATATAATAACATCTTTACACCACGTAAAATTGTTTTGACTTAATGTCATAAAGAGCTGATATAATGCAATGGAAGATTGGCGCAATGTAATTGAAGTGCGAGTTAATGCAATAAAGACTTAACATAATGTAATGGAAAGTTGACATAACGCAATAGTAGTGTGTGTTAATGTCATAAAGAGTTGACAAAATGTAATGTAAAGTTGACATAACGCAATAGTAGTGTGTGTAAATGTCAGAAAGGGTTGAAATAATGTAATGGAAAGTTGACATAACGCAATAGTACTGTAAGTAAATGTCACAATGTGTTGACATAATGTAATGGAAAGTTGGCACAATGCAATTGTAGTGTTCTGCTATAAGGCAGTGACGGCGTTCCATACGTTTCCATTCATATGTTAATATACAATTATTGCGGGTTTTTTGAGGTCAATACAATGATTTAGCCATCTGAGGAGTACAATATTCACCGAGCCCGAAGGGCGAGGTGAATATTGTACTTCGAAGATGGCTAAATCATTGTATTGACCGAAAAAATCAGCAATAATTGTTTTATTATATGATTCACTGATAAAATGATGCAGCTCATTCCTTGTTAACTTGCAATTAATTACGTCCTAGCCAAATAAAAGAGAGAAACAGAATTAAAATGTGAATAAACCTTACCAGTCGTATCAATTTAAAATGTTTTTTTAAAATCAATTTTAGTAAAAAAAAAAATGCCATGAGAGAAATATATATTATCAGTCTTTTTTATAGGATAGATTTTGAAAGGAAGGAGTTTTATTAGGAAAAACTGACTGCCAAAAAAATTGTTGTTCAGTAAAAGTGTTGGAGGGGAGGGGGGTGTCCCTGCATCCCCTCTTACCTCCTCACCCAAAATATATATTCGCTTATGTTTTTTTCACATGAAAATAAAAATCATAGTCGTTTAAATAGCTTTCTAAAACAATTTGTATCAATTTGGAATTTCCGAATCTATTTTTAGATCAATGTAGAGGAAATAAATCCTTGTATTGACCTGGAACGTCACGTACAGGTCAATACAACGTAATATTTTTCTAACATAGTTGGATCTCAGCCAATCAGAGAGATTGAAATTATTCAATCATATAATAACATGATATATCTTTGGGAGTCTGTCAGAGTCTGTTAGGTTACAATCAACGTGTTTTAAATTGAAGTCATCGCGTTTATCATAAAACTTTGTTGTTAAATTACCATTAACGTCTTATAGTTAAGTAAAATATCTACATTTGTAAATATGAAACAGATGTCAGACTCTGTGGTATCCTTTAGTATACAAGCTCACTGGGATGTGTTAAAAAAATTTCAGAGGGGACATCAAACAAATATTAATTTCGAGACTGATTCGATACGTTCCTTTGAACTCGAAATAAAAGACAACAATGAGTTTAACAAATATGTTTCATACTTGGATATTTTACAAGAAAAGATATAAATGGTAACCTTTCTAAAAACAATATTTTATTAACGTTATGATTTATTATAACGGTACATGTGTATGCATATGGAATTTATATCCCCAAGTTGATTCCAATTCCAATTGCATGTTCTACTTATTAACAATTTCTAAAACTAGGCAAACTATTAGCAAATAAGTTGATGATACAAGAATATTAACAATCTCGTTAAAAGCCATCGTTTTTGCAAATTCTACAATCAATACAATAGTCTTTTCAGCAAATACAATCTATAGCAAATCGTTAGGCCATTATTGTCCCCCGCTTGAAAAGTGGGGGATATTAATTTGGGTTTGTCCGTCCGTCCGTCCGTCCGTCCGTCTGTCCGTCCGTCCGTCCGTCTTTCTGTCTGTCTGTAACGCTTTCGTTTCCACACGATATCTCGAGAACCCTTTGAGCTTTTGCAATGAAATTTAGCATAGCAACTCCCTATGGACTTAAGAAGACCCCTATTGATTTTGAGGTCAAAAAGTCAAAGGTCAAGGTCATAAATAAGCAAATTCTGTCTGTTAAAACACTTTCGTTTCCACACGATATCTCTAGAACCATTTGAGCTATCGCAATGAAATTTTACATAACAACTCCCTGTGGCCTAAAGAAGACCCCTATTGATTTTGAGGTCAAAAGGTCAAAGTTCAAGGTCGTAAATTTATACATTCTGTCTGTGTGTAACACTATCATTTCCGGGCGATATTTCAAGAAGATTTTGAGCTTATGCAATGTAATTTTATACCAAAACTCCCTAGGACGTCTCTCGCCCCTCTCAAAGTGCCCCGCCCCGTTTGTTTTATTAGTATTTATAGTATTACATGTCGCTATTTTTAGCGCAGGGGCATGTGGAGAGTTATTGCGTATAAAACAGGTTCTCGGCGGACTTTATGTTCTTATTACATCTATTATAACTGTTTAATAAAGGCTAAATAAATCAAACACCATGGATTGTGTAAAATTTTGAGAATACCGAACATGAAAACATGAATATACATGTATGTGACTTCAGTTCTGCATATACTTCGCTCCATGTACAGAGACTCCGTGGTCTAGCGGTTATGTCTCACGCTTCAAATGTGAGAGGTCCCGGGATCGAATCTCGGTCGAACCTTTCTTTTTTTTTTTTTTTTTTAAATACTTTTTTTTTACTAAATGATAGTATTCAGCATGTGAAATGAAAAATTTATGAGGTTATAAAATCATCATTACAGTGTGATAAATATCTCATATAAAAAAATCTTCTATACACATAATAAAGAATAAGCAATCAAATCTTTATATGCATATTGACATACATGTATTTTATTTCCTTCAGTATACATGTATACATTTAATAATTCTACAAATTCAGTCAGGGGGAGCCGACTTTTTCCTTAAGCGGGGGACACGAATTCTCTGAATTAGCTTGTTTTCATCCTACTTTTGCTCGGATCATGACCAGGAGTACACGGCAGATGTGACCCGTTGACATGGGATGTTTACTCATCCATGGTACTTGATCCCACCTCAAATGTTTTAAAATATCTGTGTGCCGCAATGCTCCTAGGTTGTAGAATTTTAATGAACATTTTGAGTTTGGTAAGTCTTCGCTGTCTATCCCGCTGTGCATTACCAGTTACGGAGGTTTGAAATCCAGTATGGGTAGGAAGTTCGACGAGTACATGTATTTTTAACTGAAATGGTTTTGAAGAATCTCTGCCTTCGACGGAAGTTCGGAAAGCAATAATTGGATTATGGTTTTTACCTATAGACCAACAAAAAATTTTCATTGTACTTATCAAGAGTTTTTCCATAAAAAAAACTCAATTGCCAGACGATAAATAAATACATGTGCTATAAACATGATAAAGTAGAATCATGGAATTGATTTTTTTTGGAACAAACTAAAAATGTTTAAATTATGATTTCTTCATCCCTTTTCATTTATAGGAAATCACTAAATTAGATGTACCATTTCGCAAATAACAAATGATAATATTAATGTATAATTAAATGCAGATGCATTTTATTTTTGCTTACAATCATACACGACTTACTACTCAAAAACTATTCATTAGATCAGACAAAAGCCTGCTAGTTTGATCTAGACAATTCCTTTCTTGTGAAAGATCGTATGTATGTTTGTAAGGTTGAGACTCGGTCAATCCTTGAGAGGCATAATGTAAAATATCAACAGGCGGATCCAGAAAAATATAAAATAGTCTTTTCTTTGTTATTTCCTCAGTACTGTTTACATTCAACAACAGCCGTCGAAAAAGAATTCTGTTGACTTCACAAAAAGGACTCGAACAGCTGACATCTTCATCAGACACCAGATCCAAGGTTAACAGGACCAGGAACCTTTGATATTTTTTGATACAATTAGAAATCCATATGTCCATGTTTTTAAATATATCCATTTCACAATTTTCAGGAATGACAAGGCGGACATTACTTCTTGACTTTATTTCATTGAAAAGCTGCAGAAACCTAGTTTCTCCCTGATTTGGCATTGCAACTACTACGATGTCTCTATCCAATGTATGTGAAAGCCCTGAAATTAAAAGACAATATTTCTTATTTGATATTCTGAATTCTGTAAACGTATTTAAACTATTTATTTTAGCAGTGATCCTATTTTATACCGCTTGTATTTACTAATTCTTCTCCACAAACTAAAAAAAAAAAAATGCGACGTATATGTGCAGCAGCTCGAAACAAAATGCAGTACTTCACGATAACACTAGCCAGTTGAGAAGGGAGAACTTATTGCAATTTTGAATGAACTTATCTGTACGATTAAGAAATAAATGCCATCTGCTCAAACTTCGATAAGAAATTTAAAACACATAAGTCCAAACATCACATAATAAAATGAACCTACTTAACGGAGACTCCATCAAACTCTCTAGAGATGATGCAGCATCAGGTGTGATATTCAGCTTCGCTTTCGCTTCCCGCCTTTTTCGAAAAAAGTTAAACCAAACAACAAATGCAATCATTAATAAAATGAGAAAAGAAGCCACAAATATCACGTAGTCAAAGGATGAGGGTTGAAACGATGATTTGCTTGGCTGAGACTCTTGTTGTATTGTTTCCAGGCTATAATTAGGTGTAATTTGGACAGAAGCTGTTGGCATCACTGAAAAAGAAAATTTATATCATAAAATTATGTAGTTTACTTTTTGTACAATTGATTTATTTTTTAATAGTAAACAATCTTAAGAATATGAAGACGTTTCAGAGATTTCCAAACGATACATTTCAAAAGCTTAACTCACCAATGGGTTGACAAAAGTTGAAATCGTCAATTTTTGTCTGGATCTATCAATTTAAAAAAAATCTATGTTTCATTTAACTGTTGTTAACAGCATTTCATTGAAATCTTCAACTTTTGCCTAGATATATGATTTAAAAACAGTTTGTAACTGTATTTCATTGAAATCGTCATTTTTTGTCTAAATCTACCATTTAAAAAAATTTGATAAATAAGCATAAAGTTACCTGAAAGAGGAAAGTCATAAATATTTTGCAAAAAGTTTTTTTTTTTAAATTTACGTAAATTAATTTCAAAATACCCAAACGATGATATTTTGATTAGGAGGAATTGCTGTGAAACTGAAGTTCTTCTGACAAAGACTCTGAAATTGAAAAAAAAAAAGATTCATGATTTCAAGAGTACTATTATTCAATCTCTTTCGTTTGAATTTCACATTAATCTCACTTCAAAAAAAGTTAAAAGGCACTATACAGAATATGTATTTAGTTTATTTACCTTATAATCACTGCATTTTATGGTGCCGCTGTCCAGGATTGTTGTAACATTCCCTATGTAAATAGAAGCTATTGGATTCCATCGAAGGCGTTCAGCATTCTCTCTACATTTCAGATTTTGAAAATTTATTTCTGCTTGAATATCAAACGTGGTGCCTCCATATTTCCTCTCAGCAAAGTTTATCCTTGAGCAAGTACATAGTAATGACACAGGGTCTAAAAGATGAAAAAATAGACAAAAAAGTAAACAAATTTTAAATAGGCTGGGGGGTGGCAGCCATTTTCAGACTATTTCGATCTCCTTTAAAAGAAGAGCTCCATATAAAGCTATACAAAAATGATCAAATTTTAAAACTAAAATGTATGATTTTTTTCTTTGCCAAATGATAGTTGACAGCTTAAGATATCGTATCTTAAAGATATGTATGCCGTGTTAAATAGAACTTTTGCACAGCTGAAACCGAACAAAAATTTCTGGAGTATGATAAGCTACCAAAAATGAAGCATTCTTGCTAATTCGACGAAATTCTATTCGGTATTAACAAAGTACTGATCAGGAAAAGAACACGATATTCTCATGCATATTTATAAAGGACTGACGTTTATCCTGGATCTGCGCATGTGCGCGGGAAAAGCATCGCGAAAATCATCAGGTCGAGGAAAATATTTTTTGTGACGTCTGTTCAGTGAGGGACACAAATAGACCAATCAGCTCAATGAGTTGCATTTATGGGTTACTACATAAAATACTACATGTGTTTTTCAAAAAGGCTAGTTTTTTAAATCGCTCTCAGAAAGACTTGATGCATTATGTACATTATTATCAACTAATCCCATGCTCATATTTGCATACAAATGATTAACAATGATGAAAATTAAAGTTTTCCCCACTCCATTGTACAGGTCCGTTTGTTTAGAGTTTCCCCGTGCTGTACTGCTAGTGGACATTTTCGGTTGGGTGAACATTTACGGATCTTCAGTATGGAGCGCATTATGCGCAAAATATATTTTATGTCAAGTACAATGTATGGAAAGTAATTTAAACTACTATGTTTACACCCTGAATGGGATATCGTCAATAATCCCTTTTGGTTTTTTAATATGAGCTACATAACATATGTAGATGAAACTTACATACCATACGTCTTGCCTTCTTAGAAATATAGTTGTGCTAATAAAATAAAATTGGTCAAGGAATTCCAGGTCTCTAAAAACTATTCCAGTTTGAGGGCACAACCATTAAGAAAATTAATTCAGGTAGGTAGCATCGTTTTTTTTTAAGTGGGTGGGGGGATAGAACAGTTAGAATAAAAATCAACTAGCTCGAAGAAATCTGACAAGTAAAATAGGTTCCAATATCTATCAGTACTAAATTTTATTCATTCGCTACAATTTACTGCCAAACTCCAAATTTCACTTTCGAATTAGCTCGAGCCAATGCTGATAACCTACTTGCAAGATTTTTTATATTATTTTCAAGGGGTCAGAAATACTGTGGTTCATATGTAAAGAATATAATTATATTATTTAGTAGTATTCTGGTTTTGGCATTCGGTATATTGTGCAGATTTATACATGATATTCTGTGGAATACTTTTTGTTGTTTTGAACCATTAAGAAATGCAGAATCGAATGTATCTAATAACCATTTTGATTGATCAAATTATATCATTTGTTTGTATTGGTTATTTCATTTTGGCACAACATGGTTTCTACACTTCTTTATCCATAGTCGCTGACAGCTGTAGAAGTTCACCCAACCGAAAATGTCCATTGAAAAGACAATTGAACTCTTAGGTGCTCTCAATATTGACAATCCCTAACTCACGTGTTTGTAGTAAAAACGTAATAGACCATCATGCTTTTAGGTTCATTCACGAGATTGGACCATTGTTTGCTGTAAACATGCGAGACAACGTGATCATGAATATTTCAATAAGAGGCGGTTTTTTATCCGACACGGAGAGAAAATAATTTTTACCAAATAATATTTCATAACTTTTAAAAGTGATGGAGTGGAATTGTCTCATTTGCAGAAAGTATATAACTTATATAACTTGATGAGACACCACATATATTTATTACTTTTAAAATAAAACACTAATACGGCATATATAGCTTTAAAAAATAAGTTAAATCTGGTGGTTAATTTGTGATTAATTTGTTGACCCCCCAGCCTCCTTAAATAGAAAAGTCAAAAAAGAATCAACAAATCTATGCGTGAAAAGAAGAAAACACCTGCTGTGGCCTTTAACTCGACATTTAGATATGTTGACGGCGTATTGTCAATTAACAATTATGGCAAATTCCATTCTTATGTCGATACGATATATCCTAGTGAGCTTTAGATAAAGATTCTGGAACATCTGTTTCATATTTGGATATGTTACTTGAAAAAGACGTCAATGGTAATCTAACAACCAAGCTCTATGATAAACGTGCGTGATGACTTTGACTTTACTATCGTCAAATTCCCTTACTTATGCAGCAATATACTAGTACTTTCATAACCTGCACACGGAGTTTATATATCTCAGATGATTCGATAAGCAAGAGCATACTCTACGTATGAACAATTTCTAAAACGATGTAATTTTTTGACAAACAAGTTGATGAAACAAGAATTTCAGAAGTCTCGTTTAAAGTCATCATTTCGTAAGTTATATGGTCGATACAATGATCTTGTAAGCAAGTACAATTAATCATTGAGTCAAATGCTGACTAACGTTTTTTATACTAATTGTTAGTCCATTATTTATACACTGAATTGGTTGATTGATTGATTGATTGTATATTGTTTAACGTCCCTCTCGAGAATTTTTCATTCATATGGAGACGTCACCGTATGTCGGTGAAGGGCTTCAAATTTTGACCTTTACTCGGCACTCAGGGCCATTGAGCAGTGAGGGATCTTTATCGTGCCAACGCCTGCCGCTGACACGGGGCCTCGGTTTTTAAGGTCTCATCCGAAGGACCCGCAACTTTCACTTCGAAGTGCTGAGCGCATGGCGAAGGAACAGTTGCTACCCATTTTTTATCGACTTAGGTCATTCGCGGCCGAGATACGAACTCACGACCTCCCGATCACGGAGCGAGCGCTCTACCGACTGAGCTACCGTGAACGATACACTGAATTGACGACGAATTTTTCCGTTATTTCCTGATTATGATAAGGAGCACATGGTGGGTGTGACCGGTCGGCAGGGGATGCTCACTCCTCCATGGCATCTGATCCCACCTCTGTTGTTTTGGAGGTCCGTGTTAGCCCTGCTTCTGTTTTGTATTGTTTTATGGACTTATGATCTTGAATACTGTTCTTAATCTCCAAATGTTTTATTGCTAAAGACTGCGAAGTGATTCCAATGAATCATTTGTCGAAAGCATTAGCTAAAAAGAAGAAATTCAGCATGCAACTGATGAAGTATCCCCATTAAATGGTGGTCAGGCATGAATGTTCTGGTAAATGAGGACATCAAATGATTGCATTGAAATTCTTTTAAAATATAATCAAACCTGGTTCAGTTGTTCCAGTTATCCGGGCAGATGTAAATACACCTGAAGTTAGAATTAACAAAAGCATTCCTAAAACATCACAACAAGGTGCTGGAATAGAGAAACAGATAAAATTATCAACGTATTTTACATGGCAAAAGTGACATTCAAAATAATATTAGATAAATCCAGAAAATTCCTCTCTAAAAACTGTTGTTTTCTATTTCTGTTATTCAATGAAGCCCCCCGAAATATATCCAAATTTGCAGTTTTCCATTAAAAAAAAAACTCTCTTGGATATGTCTACATTCTTGCTGGTAAGTGAACCAGCTTTAACTTCTTATTCAAGGTGTTTTTGATAATCTTCTTTAAACTTCATTGAGTTAAATAAACCATGCAAGTATAAGTAATACTTTATTTTCTTTATACACAAATACATGAGTTTTAGCAGGATATCGCATTTTATATTTCATCTTTTGATAAAATAGTAAATTTGAGAATAAGGGATATAAAGTCGTTTAAGATGATATGATATTTACCCACCTTATATGTGTCCGTTCACAAGGAATCCACTTTGTTTATCAGGTATCCTTCATTTAAAACATGAGTGTTTTTATCTCAACCGCAATATTAAGACACTTCTAGCAAATCATTCTCTTTCAATAAAGTCACCAGTGAAGAAATATTCCAATGTCAAAATAATTAAAGCAATTGGTCAAAATGTAAACATTTAATTTTTTGTTAACAGCTCAAAAACGTATGCATATATATATTAAAGGGACTGGCATTGCCTGACTCGGGGTAGTTATAGATAATTGAGATCTGGATAACTTCTCTTATAGATATACAAAACAACTAATCCAATTGAAAATAAATACCAAAGAACTCGATGAAAATCAAATCGGAGATTGTTAAATTGTTGTTTTTTTTTCGTTGGAGAGTTTTACATGCAAGAAAGTAAGGAATAAATAACAGCAAAGTACTTATCACAGTCTTACTAGATTAGTTTAGAATTCTGAAACGTTATTTATCATTGATAGAATACTGCTAACTTTTATCATGATAAATGTTTAAACTTATTTGTTATGACAACTAAAAACACCATAAGCATAATAATAACCAAAACAGAATTTATATTATTCACAATATTCAAGTAATAATCATATAGTTTATACATGTACATTGTGATAATAAAAACACTTTTAATATACATGTAATGTCTCTTATACCTGGTATGTAAATCAAGAAGATTAACAAAGACGTATAGTTTGTGGAATGTGGAATACGTTCATGTGTATTTTTGCTATCAATAAACTACATGTAGCAATATGCAGAAAATATAAATTATTTTAAGCGTAGTCGAGAAAACTTAATCTGATGTTAATTAAATAATTATACTTTGCAAAATCATACTGTCATCTAATCTCAAATGTATATATGTACATGTTCTATATCCTAATACATAATATACTCTCATGCATCCTACAGTGTATGTATATATACATGATATATTAATAAATAAAATACTGTCATGTACTCTACAATGTATATGTACATAATTTACTGGCACGTACTCTAGGTAGTGTACGAGGAATTTACTGACATGTACATATACGAAGGTTTTCCGTCAAGTTCGTTGACAAGCTAATGTAATTTAAAAGTTGTGGCATAGATAACAGGACAACTATTCTCTTAAGAGAAGGTCCAGTGGATGTAGGCGAAACCCTGTCCACTTCTTTAAAGAGAATAACAGGACAGCATTCGTGAAAGAAGAAATGAGGTTGCATTGTCGTAAAAAATAAAATCGTTTTTAAGCGGACAGAGGTCTGAGGATTTGCAGAATCTGAATCTGAGATAAGAAGTGTTAAATATTACTAGTATGAGACCCAAACAGTCTGTGCACAATTTTGATGATTGGTTATAGTGTCATGAGAAATGTATCAAGTTAAACAGTGACAACGGGCAGTACATGTACGCAGGTACGTATAAGGTGATCATGACGTTATAAGAGACCTAAATTACAACATTTATTTTATTATATTATAAGTCTCTTATAACGTCTTGACCATTTTGTAAGTACATTTTGTAAATTTACATTTTTTGGTAGTATTTTATTAGAGACTTCGTATTAGCTATATAATAATATAGGGTTATTAAGGTCTTCCGTTTCCAACGGAAGACCTTCTACTGATTCTGATGATTAAGATTATTCTTATTATGTCGCCCCGAACGAAGTCGGGGACGACATATTGATATTGTACGCATGTTTTTTTTTTATCCAGGCTGTTTCTCGGAGATGGCTGGGACAATCTTCCTGAAACTTTCCTCAAAGGACGATCACTGGTTGTAGTTGTGCAGTGAGGTCGTTCAGTTCCAATATGTCTACCGTTGCCATGGAAACCTGTAAAAAGCGACGAATTTTGTCCGCGAGTGTTCTCTCTGGTCCCTTAAACGTTCGTCATGAAACTTTTCTTATTTTAATGATTAGTATCTGTAGTTGTGCGATTCGCATTTAAATTTTTTAAATAATCGATTATTGCCATGGAAACCAGGGGAAAGTTAAAATTCTTTAATTTCGATTTTCTCAATAACTACGCAAGCAATCGTTTTGAAACTTTCAATGTTTATTCCTTGCAATGTGTCAAAGTGATTTCTACTTTTAAAATAATTGTAATGAGTCGCTCACAGTTGCCATAGAAACGAAACAGAAAAAAGGTTAAGATGTACACATGTGTTCTCCAAGGTCTAGGTCAAAGGGTCAAAGTTCTTCGTATCCAATAAAAGTTCTTTTCACAAGGATTACATATTTGAAATACGAAAGCCCTAGCCCTTACCGTTCAAACGTTATGGCTAAGGTACTATGTTCAAGACGACCCGCACCCCCCTTTTGAAAGGCACAGCCAGGTAGAATACACAGATATAACATATACAACTTACAAGTAACGTTTTAAAAGTTTCATTCATAGAATTCAGTTCCCGTCATGTGATATTTTGCCATCATTCATTCTCCTTCTGTTTTGTGTCTTGAATTTATAATTATTTTATTTTATCTATATAAAAAAAAAATAACGATTGTCAGCTGCATTTATTATCATTTCGCGTTTTCTTGTATATCTACTACTTGTATATTATTCATTTCATTAGATACTGCAAGTATAAATTAGAAAATTGGTACGTCATTTCCATAGTTTTTATTTAAACAATAAAATGCTTTCTTTGTTTGGTATTACTGGAATGAACGGAAGCAGCTGTTGCAGAAAAAATACATACTAGTACTAGTAACCCGCGTAAGCGGGTTATGTAAATTTTTTCTGTAATAGCTGCGACCGTTCATTCCAGTAATAACAATCAAAGAAAGATATTTTATTGTATATATTTATATCTGTTTAAATAATTATTTAAAGTAGGATTAAAAAGATTAATTATTGTATTAATGATGCGAACGTCTTTATACGTTTCATTGATAGAACAGCCACTGATCAAGAAATCTGTACAAGCGACATTCCGACTGTAGTTCATGCAGTGATAAACGCAATGGGTTTTCTTAAGAAATAAAGGAGAATATATTCAGCGGATGTAAATATTCATTCATAAATCCTTGGATCTGCTCCTGCAGGTGCGCGAAGCCTTGATCACCACTGTATACAAAACATTCATCTCGCCGAAAATGTTCATGATTCCGCTAAACTGAGAAAGTTTACACATGATTTATCATCTCATAAGAAACAGCAGCCCTGTGCAATGCAGAAATGCTCGAATTGAAGGTGGCATGTCAGATTCTTTTTCCTGCAGAACCTCTAAAAATGAAAGTGAAAGTAGGGAAATTTCAGAGTTCTAACTGGCGTTATAATACACAAAATAATTCGGCTGATCCTCTTAATGAATTACACTTGCCAAGCTTTTTTTGGTAGGAAAGATACTGCATGCCAATTAACAAGTATGAGGCTCAGTTCAGTACATCTGCCCAATTTCTTTTAAGCAAGTCTGCAAATTTAGGAACTTGTAATTTTTTCCTGCACTACTTTCTTTAGTGGGATGTACCCAATTAAGGTCTTCCGTTTCCAACGGAAAGGACTGATACGACTGGATGGTTGTCCAAGCTTAGCTAATGGACCATTGTTTTAGTGATGATAAAAATGAAAATCTTGTCCAGGACGGGGCGACATATGCTATTGCTTGCAATAGCAGACTTTCTAGTTATTCTTTTTTTTTCCCCTTTTCCTAGACGCCAACTTTTCTCAATGGATTTTGCTTAAATTTTCAGAGTTTATAGACGTTACTAAACTCTATCAGAATTTTGTCTAGCATTCCAAAATTTCACTTCCGGTTTTGAGTTATTTCCCTTTCAACGAATATTTATAGGCTTCCTGTACGAAATGTTCCGCCTGGAATATAGGGGGAATTGAGGCGTACTTGGAGAGGCGTCAATTTGTCTCTCTACATATATGGTGATACACAGGTTCCGGGCGTAACTTAGGCGGAAACCAAGCGTAAATGGGCAGGAATTTGAGGCGAAAAATGCAAATGAGCTACGCCCGGAAAAATAAATGACGCCCGTAAAAAAAATTACGCCTGGAAACTAAAATGACGCCTGGAATAGAATTACGCCTGGAATGTCCTTATTATTATATAATACTATTGACCTAAAAACTTATAATATTTACCATGTTAACAAAGAAAAACATTCAGATTATGATTTACAATATGTTAAAGCTAAAAATTTAGCTTTTTGAACTGTAAGAAAACATAATTACAGGCCATTAACATATATCATTAACAAGTATAGAAAAATAACATGAATTTTGTGTATTAGGGACACTAAAACACGGCCACCATGATTGAGTGTGTATTTAGAATTAAACTTTTTTACAATACCTGTACATTTTATCACTTCAATAATTATATTGAAACATTTTAGTTACTGACTGAATACAATTCTTCATTTACTCAGCAGTTTACAGTTAGATTCTCACTGCAGCCTCTATCAGACTGATATTTCTCAGAATGTGTGCAAGGACAAACTCAAATATCTAAAGTAATTTTAGGGTCAACCAGTTATAACTATCATTGTACATAATCATAATCAAATTTACTCAAATAGGTACTAGATATTCATGATCAGACCTACCAGCAGACACTGTGTCATCCTCAAGAAGTGTAAAAGCCTTAACATTGAGATATCTGCATTTCCTGTTTCACTCACTCTAAACTCCCTCCTTCATGATCAAATTCAAACTTAACCTCCTATCTGAAATGACCCTTAATTGATAATTAAATTGACCAATCAGAGGCTTTTACTTCTCCTGAAAGTTCCAGGCGTAATTTTTGTTTCTATTTTCCTGCCATTTTACGCCCGGAAAATCTGAACTTGCCAATTGACGCCCGGAAATTACAAATGACGCCTGTAAGACGTCTCTTCTACTGAGGCGTAACTCTTTGAAAATTCCGTCTCCGCCTCAAGTACGCCCGGAATTTGCCAATTCCTGCTCAATTCCACCCAAATTCCAGGCGGAATCCGCCTTTAAAATTCATACAGGCTTCATTTCCAGACAAAGGCTCGGAGATGGCAAAAGCTGGAGCAGAAGTTTTACTGATTTTACACAATAGAAGGATTGAAGTTGTGCATAGCGGTTTTTGTTTTTCGATTTCTCTATTCAAAATGGTGCTATATAGGGGTCAAAAATTAGAACGCCTAAAAGAGCGAAAATTTACACATATTTTGCTTTTTATTTTCTAAACTAAAAATATTTTGTTAAAACATATAGAACAAAATTTGTGCAGAATTACAAGATCTTTCAAATGATATCTCGAAAAAAGGGCTGACCCCTAAATTAAGGGATCAAGAGGGGCCAAAAGTTTTTTCCAGATATCTCAAAAAGTATTGAGAATTTGTAATACATATAAGGAAGCAAAGTTGTTCAAAATGTCAAGCTTAATCTATTGAAGTCATCAAAATGCTTCCGGCAACGTCACTTCCGGTCAAACCGGAAGTCGTCAGAAAATGCATATTTTTGCCGTTCTTGACAAGTTTTTGGGTAATAAATGTCACTGGAAGCATAAAAATTAATTTTCCGTCCGTCGACATCACTTCCGGTCAAACCGGAAGTAGCCAAAAAATAGCATATTTTTTAAGGTTTTGATGCAAAATTGAAATTTTAAAGTGACGACTCAGCTCATTATTTTCTTTTGTTGACGTCACTTCCGGTCAAAACAGGACGGAAGACCTACTCGTTGCTTTGCAACGAGCTTTGCTCTAGCTGAATTTATATTGGTGAATATTGGCACGAGTTGGCTGTACAAATGCACGAGCTTGCGCAAGCTCGTGCATTTGTACAGCCAACTCATGCCAGTATTCACCAATATAAGTTCAATGACCCTATAGTACTGCCCGTGTGCTTAACAGTCGTCTCTTTAGCACCCAGTTCATTATTAAAAGGAAAGAAAACAATTGATTGAGGGTCTCAATAAAATTTACTACTGTCCATAGTTCTTTTGATCAGATTCTTTCAGTAGAAATTTAGTCGAAAATTGTTGAAATCAGAACATTCAAAAAGTTTGACGTCGATAGGCCCACAACGTTTCCCATCGTCTGATTTTAACAGTCTCGTGTTCTTAATTTAGATTTTGTATTTTGTTTCATTGATATAAATTTGAGATTGAGATTTGAGATTGATATTTTCTCCCATAAATTTGTTCAAATGGGATAAATCCCACGGATATTGACAATCAAACAATTTCTCCCATACATTGTGAAACATGAAACATATCCCATACAGTATGACAATGACATAATATATAGAATATATACAAACTACAACAATGTATTGCAGATAATAATTCATTGTCGATATCCGTGGGATTTATCCCATTTGAACAAATTCATGGTAGAAAAAATCCCCTAGGAGAAAATATCCCATCTGACATTTTTTCTCCCATGGGAGAAAGTTGGTGGGACTGAAAATCCAACCATTCTCCCATATGATTTTGAGTTTTAGGACTCCATATCTTTAGAAGTGGAGATGTTTGTGACATGAGACCCTGGAATACTGCTAAGAAACCCCACAAAGTGATATAAAAATATTTTGGAAATCATAATTAGAAATGGTAGTAGAAAGTCTGGACTATGTCGTGTCCAGAGTTAAATGTCGTACAGTTATTTGAAAAATCACTATTTAAAGGAACAATGAATGATTTATGGATGTGCAAAATATGGTTAGAATCGGTTGAATATTTACAAAGTTGTCTACGACTTTTTGGGATACCCTCGTATATTGCCATGTACTATGAGGCATAAATTTTGTTTCGAGATATATATTTTACAGCTTTTAAAGACATATCTGCCGTTAGCATCTCTAGCCATTACCATTATTTGTCGAAGCTCTCAGATCATATACAAGGTGAAGAAAATCTTGGCAATCATTCATATGTCCTCGATATAAATCATATTTATTTTGCCTGGTACGGATACAGGGAAAATGTCTTTGGATGATGGAAGGTGATTCCAAATAAACATAGAAATGTGTTCTATTATTGAGCAGAGCTGAATGGCGCAACTTACGAAAGAGTTGCTTGGAAATCACGTCTAGAGGATTAGAATGGTCTTCATTATCGTTTACAAGGTTTGCTGTCAACAGAATCATGATGGTGTTAAATTTTAATTCCACGTTGTCAATCCATTCTATTGAATTATGGAAGATATCTTCTTGGAATTGGTCTATGGTAAGAAAATGCATTCCTGTTTGGTTTTCTAGTTCTCTGATCAAAGTTAGACCAACGCCTGACAGAGACACCACAAAAATTTCTTCGACCGACTCGAAATGCTCAAGGACTTCTAGAATATCAAAAAAATATTTGGACAATTAAAACTGGTAAATGTGGCATCAAAAATATCGAATAGTATTCGGCCAAGTGTTGATATCTCCTTGGCAAGTTCTGTGACAGTTGATATAAACAAGTCGCATGTTGACATAAATGTCTTGGATGTTGATATAATTGTGTCGCATGTTAACATATTAAAGAAGTCACATGTCACCATAGTTATGTTGCATCTTGCATGTTTGATGTCAGAAGCTGGTGTTGATAAGTAAATTTACCCATACTAAAATTATTTTCTCTAATAAGATTGGTAACCTACGTACATATTGCATAATTTTCTTGCATGAAGACATAAATAGCTTTCATGTTGACATATTTTGAAATTTTAAAACATTTGATTTGGCATTCAACTTTTATAGTAGAGATTGGTATAGATAAGATTTGATCATTATAATTACCGTGTAAGACTATGGGTCTATCTTCAGATGGTTCTCTATTATTGGATTCCTCCCCATTACCAGGTTCTCCTCTCATACAGCAACACAGTAAGTAAATACCGACCGTTGAAGCAACGATCACACCCAATACACTCAATATCACCACCCTCATATCAATACGGGGTCTGTGTGGAATTAAAGTTGTGGGGAATTTTGATTTTGAAGGTGGTGGAGTTACTTTAACAATTTCTGAAATAGAGTAAAACAGAACCGGATTGTTTTCTGAGATTAGAATATTAAGCGTTTGTATAAGTTCCCTAACTCTTACAACAAAACTTAATATTGGATTTGTATTCAATACCATGAAAGGGCATTAATTGTTCGTTACTTATACGTAGCTTGAACAAGTTTTAAATTTTATTCCATCTTTCTCTTCCATTTGTTTTTTTTTTTTTTTGTGTCATCATAAAACGACTCAGCAACTCAGATTTATTTTGAATCTGTCAGTGTTTAATAAAATATACGATTGTTTGGAATGAATTATCTGTCTTATACCAATATCTTTGCAGATATTTGAAGAACCAGCAATCTCGACACGAAACTGAAAAATATTTAAGAAAATGATTGGTCATTTTTGAAATATAGAAATATTTTTTAGCATAATTATAAAAAATAATTTCATACATGTATTTACAATTTTACATCCATAAACTTACCAGTACATCATATTTTTGTGATCGAATCTTCATAGAGAAAAATTTTCCACAGGGTCTCTGAAGACAATATTAAATGACCGTAAGCATGCACATATGCATGATTCATTACACAAGAAAATTACTAGTAACTTTTGACATTTCTGTGAGATAAAAATGAAATATTTTTTTCTTCGCTTGTTTTTAACTGAAACCTTTTTGTTCCTAACTGCAGCAGAATTATGATAAAAGTAATCAAATCTATAGTGATACCTCAGTCCTTCTGCAGTATAAATACTTCTCAACATCAGTTTCATTGTCGGCTCCCCTCACTAACACTCTGATAAAAGGGTCCCACTTAAGCAGATATGCCGAATCTCTGCAGTCTGTCTTATTCCATTTGAAGCTGAGGTTAAAATTAAACCAACTTCCATTTTCATCAAATTTGTAGTGAATATCGTGAAATTTAATGCACGGGCCACAGAGTAATGTAAACAGATCTAAAAAAAAAAAAAAAAAAAAAAAAAAAAAGATGTTAGTGTTTTGTTCAAATATAATTTTTATGAAGATTATAAAATTACATTTAACGTGAGCAAGACGTACATCCTCACGCAAAAACACACAATTACACATGTTCGTAGACCCGTACCTTTGCAGCACTGTCCGTTGGGCCCCAGTTGTGGTATCCCAGCAAACCCACCCTGACATCTATAGGGGGCGGGGCAGTTATTAAATCCTCGTTGGCAGCTTACTATGGTTCCATTCACACTCAAAGGGTCCCCCACTGTACAGTTGTTTTCTGGTGAAATAATAAACGATTTTTAAACTATTTTTGACACTTTAAAAACTCTAAAGGTGATGTATGAGTTTTGCCCCTGTGACCTTGACCTTAAAGTTTGAATAAAAAAAAAATTATCACATTTATAACTTTAAATTGGTCACAATTTATTAGCCAGAAAAGATACGACTTTCATATAATACAATAACACATGAGTATTACCTGTGACAACTTTTTAAGACCTTTCAATAAATACTACATTTTTTTACCATGTGACCTTGTTCCTGAAGTTTGACCTACTTTTCAAAAATCTTAGGCTAATAATTTTTTTATTGAGAAGTTATACATGTAGCCTAGGGCTTTCATATTTGATATCTACATTATCCGTGACAAGATGTTTCCGAGCATATGATTTTTACTCTTAATTGACCTTGACATTCATGTTGGACCCAATTTTTAAAAAGTTTAACTTTGCTGATTACTTCTGAATGACATACACTGTACATGTATTAAAAGGCATTCATATATGACCCAATATGCCTTAAATATTTACACCCCGTCTACTAGGACACCGAAAGCAGGGGATCACAATTCTTTGAATTTGCGAATACTTGTGCGTCATTTATGTAATGCATTGAATGATGAGAGTGCTTTTCATAGCTGGTCATAAGCATACTTGACGTATGTAAATTGCTATATACGTATAATGTTCGTAACGAATATATATAATGCAAGCGATGAAATTGTTTGAATATCGCCCTTCAGTATATTGTTTCAAAAGCAGATTGTTGACATATTTATATACTATATAGTACTCACTAGAACTGGTTGTCCAAGCAAGAGAAAAGAAGACCAGGACTACATAGTTTGTTTTCATATTCATAATCCGTAAAGGCCACCATTTTTTTCACTTGTACTGGTTTGTTTAAGCCGATAGTCTGTTGTAAGGGTGCATAATGCATTCAGTAAACTTAATTGCTTTGTTCTTTTCACGGCACCTCGGGAAAAAAGAAAAAGAAAACATAACAATGACAAAGAAATAATGATAATATAGAACGTGTTCCAGTAATTGAAGAATACGAAGGGGACTTGTTAGTTCCAACTGTGTAACGTAAGAAGCTATTGAAACAAAACATTTATCATATCTATGTATTTGTATGTATGTATTACTTTTCGACACTATTAAAATGGGGATTTAAATTTTGACCTGGTATTGCTGGTATGTTTTGTTTTTGTCTATATATACCTGACCATGGTATACTTTTTTAACGTCAGAAAATTATATGACACTGACATTTGAAAGGTTGGGACCACTTGCCCAATTGGGATATAATTTAGCCCATTTGGGATATAATATCCCAAATGGAATATAAATTTACAGTGCAAAAAATGAAGAAAAACAAATTTGGCAATAAATATCAAAAATCCGAATCAAAACACTTCAAAGGGAATGTAATTTGGTTAACAAGTTTTTCCGTATGCCCATTATTTAGGAGACTGATCCCTCAGAAGTTCCATAACTTCTTGGGGATCAATCTAACAACCTGTAGGGTTGCAGAAAAAAAACTTGCTTACCAAAAGATATTTCTTTTAAAGTGTTTTGATGCGGATTTATGATATTTATTGCCGAAATAAAAATTAATAACCCATCTTGGATATTTTATCCCAAACGGGTTGTTTGAGGAACACTGTAATATATACTCCCATCCAATGGTAATGATTTGGACTCAAAGGGGGAGGAGGGGCAACTTCCTAAACCATATCTGACAGACTGGAAAAATATAATTAACTGGCCAAAATTTCTTAGTGGCTCGGCCTTACGGGAAAAGAAGGAGCAACCACCATCTACAGGAAATTTTATTTATAATTGAGAAAATACTATATAGTCAGAAAAAATGGGGTCCCCGTATTCTACGTGACTGTTTTCTTTTATAATAGTTGTTCTGCGGATGTGCATATACATGTGTTTTTCAGCTTTTATATATTGCATATACTGGTATACTTATTCCAAATATGCATGTGATAACCATGCAAATCTCTGCGTCTTTTCAACACTGCGGGCAGTTAAAAAAGAATAATTATTATCAGTCGTCGTGAAAATAAACGCGATATTAATGCATACTTTGAAAATAATAATAGTGAGTATAGTACAGTATAGTATAATCAGACGCTCACATATACACCTCCTCCCCCCTCCTTTCAAAACACACAAGCAATATGACATCAGTTATTTTTAACATCAATGTTATTTTGATTAAATTCTCTTAAACATTATGATAATCCAGGCTTTAAATTATATTTGTTTTATTCTTTAAGAAAAATTATTTGAGATTTTAATTACGCTGCATATTGATCAAATTTATACTTGCTAGTTTTATTAATAACCGTAAACACAGACTGAGTGAATGTATATGCTTATACAAAATCATGTGCATATTTCTACAAAATGCATTGATTATTTTTTTAATTTGCAAAAATTACTTAAGTTCAATCCAAATTTGTCTAAAATATAATGTGACAAAATTTAAACTTATAATATACAATACTAGTGTATATTATAAAATTAATGTCTTTTACATGTAATTGTTATAAATTACAGTAAAATGTCTTGTTATTATTAAAAATAACACTTTATTCTTTCGTATTTATCATAAATAACAATAAAATGTTTTATAATCATTGAAGCGAATTGATTAAATTATAACGAATACAATGTATGTCTTATTAAATAAGAACAAAGTACGGTATTAGCAGTAATTCGCCGCCAATAATACGATATTTTAATCTTCTTTGTATCATTTTTTGATGTTATGCTTTGAAGTAAGGAAGATGCGAACTAAATTCTACAGGCACAAAAATGACGTAATTTTTAACTATGACGTCACAAATACGCGCTAAACATGGAATGGTCGTGTAAAATCGTTAAATTTTATTGAAAAATGAGTAATCTCTGCTGAAATTAAACCCTTTCACATGCAACAACCACTTTTATACTCCGCATATAAGTTCATCACTACATATTTCACACACACGGTTAAAATAGTGTTGGTTGTCACCTGTGATCAATATGAATTTTGCAAAAGTTAACGTATGGAAAAGATATATTACCGACGCAATTTTCCTGATACCAATGTTAATGACGCTTAATTTACACAGAAAGATTTTTTTTTTAATTTCAAGTCGCATCACGGGGCAAAGTGAACTATAAATAACCCTAAATATAAATGAAATATTTTGTAAAACAAAGTATAAATTGTAGTTAAAGATGCCGCTTATGCTGTTTGTACATCGTATGCACTTGCATGCTCGTATAGTGTCCATCGGCTTTACATGTAGCATTGAATAACAGCACGAAAATATTCACAAAAATAGCACGATATTTTTTTTATCTAATTATTACAAGAGAAATTAAAAGATCTGTGATACATGTCTGTACCTCAATATAATTATATTTTCCTTTACGAGTTTTCCTCAATGTGAATCTAGTCTTTAATACTTATCATAAATAGTGTGACCTCCAAACAATCATGACGACCATTAATAAAATGTACATACATTGAATAAACTTTATGATAACATTTAAATGTCAGCATTATAGTATTGTTCAACATTCAGTTTGTCAGATCAAGTATTGCTTTGTAGCCTTTAATTATGAAATATAAATATTACATGTATATACATGCTGTAAATATTGACGGTGTGTAGTTGATAGCAGATCCAAAAATAAATAAATAATTAAATAAACAACCCACAACCAATCCGAAAAAAAAATAAGTTCCCGAATACTAGATAGTATGCACATTAATAGTACGAAATACCGCATAAATTCAATTGTTTATTTATTATAATTTTTTGGCAAATAATTCCTGCAGAATTTAGATTTAGTATTGATAGACATTGAACATTACTGCGTAGGTTAAGCCCCCCCCCCCCCCACCCTTCCACTTTCCACAGAGACGTTACAGTATAGGTTTCAAATTGGGGAAATGGTGCTGTTTGGAAAAAATCTTGGTAATGAAGTTCGAACCTATACCCCCCCCCCCCCCCCCCCCCCCCCAACGAAATAGGTTTTAATTTTAAACCATAACCTTTTTTTCTTGCTTTTCATTTTTTGGGGGGGGGGGGGGGGGGGGGGGGGGCGTTTTTTTCTTACACTTAGCACCCTCCCCCACTTTTTATTTGCTTCCGACGCCAATGCAGAGTCATAAATTACATGTTTACAGAAATATATATTTAGAAGCCAGTGGTTATATGGTTAAAAAAAGACTTTATAATTTACAATGATGCGCATGTTAGTTGAATTTTGAAATTTATTTTACATTGGTCAGCGACATTCAGCAGCTTCTGACTTGTGATCAAGCTAAGGACTCCCCTGCCCTTCATCCTTGGATTTTCAGATTTTTTAGAGATTACATGTAACAGGTAGATAGTCAAACGGATGAGACAGAACGCACGTGATTCTTTGTTACAAAGGAAAGAAGATCGTCTTCGAAAGTTGTCAGCAATGAAATAAGTGTTTGGGGTAGTGGCAAACTTTTTTCAAGGCCAACTTTCTTTCACTTCCAATTTTTCATTGTATTTCTTTGCTATAAATATACTGTGGTAAAAAGTGGGGGGGGGGGCAAATCTTCTGTTCAATGGACCTTTTCTATAGTAAAGGTAATGTTGGGAAAAAAGGTGGGGGGGGGGGCAGGCCCCCCCTGTTGCTACGTGCCTGTTTTGTACTGCAGGAACGGTATGTCGTATTTTGGGAAATACAAGGAATTACATGTAGAATTAGAAAAGCCAATTTACCACTGCTAAAGAAGCTAACAACTCAATTTTTTCTGTCAAAAAAAAATTCAACGTATGCACGTAGCAACAGGGAGGGGGATTTTTTCCATACATAAATTTTACTATTGGAAATTCAAATGTTCTTTGATAGGCCGGTTGCGCCCCCTCCACTTTTTGTTACAGTACAGTGAATTAAGGGTAAAGTACATGTAGTATATATAGTATTTTTAAAAAAATTACTAAAGAAGGCCTCTACACCCCCCCCCCTTTCCCCCTGAAACATGACTTTCGAGTTTGGACAATCCCCCCCCCCATTTTTATGTTTTTTATTTTCATTAATATCTTGTTTTTTGCTTGTCAACTTTTTTCATATTAGTTATTTTTTCATCTTTGCCCCCCCCCCCCCCCCCTCACTTTCAAAAACGATGCAACGTCACTGCAACATGCATTTTCAGATTTTCAGAAAAGGAAATACCTATATATGGGGGAGGGTGGTGTCATGGGCCAACTTATGAAAGATCCGTGTTTCCCGGGTAGGGACTTGCAGGTTTTTCGCGTTCTTTGTTTTGTTTTTGTTTTTGTGGTTTGCTCATTTTAATTTATTAACATTCATTCCTGCGGAAAATGAGTAAAATTCTTTTCATGGACCAATACATTTAACATGATTAGTGTATCCTTTACACATAGGAAATACCTGTCTGTATTGTATTGTAAATTAACCCATTAGATTCTTTTTGTTTATTGCGAGAATCATAGGTATATTACGTTCAATTGCCAGAAAAGTACAGACACAAGAAAGTTTTGATTTTATTTTTAAATACTAGTAGGGTACATTCTCTACCAAGCAAAGAAATTTTGCGAGAAATAAAAAAAAAAAAACGGAAAGTGTTACTACCAACTTAAATATTTTGATCCTAATAAGAATAGGCGAAAACGAAATAAAGACATGTATTTGGAATTTGGGATAAATATTTGTCATCGGCTGCTATAGGAGGTGGGGATTCTGAAAAAAAAATCCACGAGCGATTATACTTATCCGACATTATTGTCAACATGTATTGAATATGAACAAATATAAAAATGACTCTTATACGTGTGTAAGTATTTACATGGACTTATAAATTAAAATGTAGAAAGCCTTCAAAGTGAGAAAAGAGTAGAGTAATCATCTGAATACTGTGATATATTCATTTATATCCTGGTTGATGACAGAGGAATACTTGAAATTTAAATGTACCCCCCCCCCCGCGCTTTTCTGAATTTAATGAGTTCATATTATTTATTATGCATTACACAATTTTTTGGGGTTTTATTAAGACATGTAAAATGATATTTAATAAGCCTGAACATGAATCATAAGTAAAAGTTTTGATTAAAAGGTTTGTTTTGTGGGGGATAAAACATTTATGAATACTAAAACATTAATAATTTCGGAACAGGTGTTTAAATCGTTTTAAGCAAATTGAAAGAATGCCTGTTATATTATTCAGTCAGAACTGAGTCCGATTTAACCACCCCCTTTATCCCCCTCAAAACAAACCTTTTAATCAAAACTCGCATTCTTATTTATATGATCTAGTATCTTTCTTGGCAAAATTGACCATTAGAGGGGGATCTCTCCTCTACATTATATTCATAGTATTCCAAACTACTGTTCCAATAAATATGATAATAATATAAATAATATTTAACTTGATATTCAAGTTTTTTTTTAAATGTTCGTGCACCTTAAATACCATATTCTAAAGAACTGATTTTTTGGTGCCGGGGAAACACCGATGTTTTTCCAATCAGGACATTTTTTCACTAGATCTGATGTAAAAAAAAATTTCTGAATTTATTTAAGAGAAATAGTTAAAAAAAAATATTGAACCCGTATAATCAATGCAATAAAAAGAAAGCAAATCTCACAGAGAACATACGGTTTATTTTTTTTCGTTTCTGTTGGATTTAATTTTAATCAACTAAAGCGGAGACACCTTCGTGGAGGATAACATTGTAAGTAATAATGAAAATAAATAGATTTAAAAAAAACAAAACAATAATGACGTTTTAATAAATCAACAACTTAATTTCTTAGATTTATATTAAGTGTAATATAAAATGAGTCCTAGCGAGTAAATTAGAATTTTCAGATTACGCTTACTACACGTTAAACGTATTCATGACGTCGAGTCAAATTTCTTCGTAAAATTGCGACGTTCTGCTATAAAAGGTACTGTATTCAGCGTTATTTTTCCAATGCATACATTTAAGTCAGGTATATAAATTACATATCATTTGATTCTAAAAATTCTAAGCTTTTAAAAATGTTTTGAACGGAGCATGTCTGACAGCCGGCATTTTTTAGCCAATACCGTACTTTGTTCTTTGAACGTATTTAAAATATAAATAATATAAATAGCTAAAGCAACCTTTTCAAATAAACTTCAACATCAGATCTGCAGGAAAAACAAATGTTATTAACTAATTCTCGGCCAATTTGTTACTCTAAATAGGATTTGTAAAATACATCAGTTATAATGGGTCTGTGTCCGGACCTAAACAACCCCCACCCACGCCCACCCCCCAACACACAAAACTTTCCCGATTAAAGTCGGTTATAGCTCGAAAATGGGGGGGGGGGTATTCTAGTGACGCTAGCGTATTTCAGCAGAGACATAAATAACATTAATGTCTCTGGTTTCAGCATATTGTTTGTATGAAGCATTAGCATTGTTAGATCCGCCACTATTACACTTCGTATTTTTCCGTTTAATCCCGATGCTATACGGAATCAGACGATTTTATTCGAAGCACGGATAACGAGTTTGCGCATGTCCGTTTGCACGAATTCCTGGCGACAAAATAAACTAAACAACATGATACCAGAAAGATAGCAATAATGTAGTACAGGGAGCTAAAGCCAACAATATCTGAATATGAATTACGGGTAAATATGACATTATACTTATGCTTCAAGTATATAACGATTTCCATTTGCGTTTTGAAGCGTTGAAACAGACAAAACGTGTTGTGTTACCCTCTGTCAGAAACAAATTCAATACCTCTATTTATTTAATATTTAAAAGATCATAAAACTCGAATGGGATATACATCCCGACCCATTTGTTATAAGTGTTTATATTGGTCACATGGTATTTTCTGGCTGTTTTGTAACCAGTACAAAATCTACATTTTCCTTCTGATAGTTTATTTTTCAGTAGGACAGGCAGCATCGTAACATTCAGTCAGGTTGTCACGTAGTTAGAATAATCTAACTGTGTCTCGGTACAGGCCCTCACCACAGTTAGAATACGTCCCATATACTTGTAATGTACAAATCTTTTGCCTATTTTGAAGAATATAAAATGATTTGCACTGGGAATAACTACCAAAATAATCAAAACAAACCTTCTTGAGATTGCTTATGCCTTTTTGTAAAAAAATAATCCATATAATACGTAAATCCATTTTCCTTTTTCTCTCGATAGTTTACATTTTCTCTAGATTGTTCCTAGGCACTATGCGAGCCCGTGTTTCTTTCTGCTACATTACGAATACACAACGAGTTAGGTTGTATCATTTTAACGATAGGACATTCTATCTAGTTGTCACGATATGATACGTATCACGATTCTACAACACGTTACAACTGTGTATCACGATACAATTAAATATACAGTGTAAAGCAGAAAATAGTTTCTTTTGTTCTGTATAATGCCAAAATACAGGTAAAACAGTATAACAGCATGTGTATAATAGCAATTTGTAATTGTATATTTTGAAAAAAAAAAAACTCTTTGATTAATACTCAATCACTTACTAAAGAAATTAAATTTAAAAGATTTCCAAATGCCAGATTTAAATGCCCTTAAGACATATAAAATGCTGATTCCTTCCACCACGCTCATTTCGCTTTCGGACCACAGGCACTTGATTTGTATACAGGACACCGCTAGTTACAAGTAGGGGTGCCCCTTAGGTCACTGATCCAAATTGGAAACTAACCCTAACCCTGTTTCGAACGCCATTTTTAAAAGCTTTATTGTAAAGAAAAAACCTACTTCCGGTATCATGATTCCAAAATGACAATATGATATGCGTATCATTGAGACACAAGATCAATACCATCAGACCAAGCAGAAAAACGAAAATGCCCTTGGACAAAGAAACTGTCACCTTGATTAAAGAAAAAAATGCACTGAGCAGAAAATATGTGGCTATCAATAATGCAAATATAAGGAAAAAGTACAACACACTAGGAACAAAAAAGTTTGTGAGGAAAGCAAGGAATTTTTATATATTATAGTACATGACAATATCTACTGCAAAAAAGATATGGCAGTATATTAACTCAAAAAGTAAAACGAGTGGTTCTTGGACAGTGTGAACTAAAAATCCAAAGTCTAATAAAACAGAAGTTTACAAGGAGAGAAACATTTTAGCAATTTTTTAATGTTTTTACACAAAACCTTGATTTTCAATAAAACCATGAAGAAGGATATAAATGTCAAATTTCATTGGAATTGTCAAAGCATTGAACCTGTTAAAGCCATTTAACACAAAAACATAGTCATCTTTTTGATATACATATCATCAAAATAATTTTTAAAATCGATAGATGAGAGAAAAGTTTTCTAAGCCTTGAAAACAGCACGTATTTCTTTAAAAAAGGAAACAAGGCGATAGCAGGAAACTACAGACCAGTGAGCTTAATTTTGTGTAAAAAACTTTCTTTAGTTAGGGACCACATAATAGAGCATTTTGCAAGCAAATTTTTGTAACTAATTTTGGCTTTATCAGTGGTAGATCAACTTAATTACAACTGTTAAGGGTATTACCCCCTCCCCTTTCTCAAGGAATGGACAGCGCGCTTTGGACAGTGGACATGATGTTGTTATATGAATCTACATACACATATCAAAAATTAAATTTGATACTGTTTTTGCCACATAATATATTGCTTACAAAAAATTGGAAGCATATGGAAAGCGTAAGAACTTAAATAGACTTTTAGGATTTTTGAACTACCTAAGTGGAAGGAAACAACAAGTATCCATTTTTGCGGGGCAACATCAAAATGGCATAGCGTAACTTCCGGCATTCGTAATACAGTGCATATTTATATACGTGAGCTCTACTGTGTACCTATTTGCCGACGACACGAAAATCTTCAACATAGTTAAGGGTTTTTAAAATGACACTTCAAAGAGATCTTGAGAAACTAACAAATATTGACTGGCTCCTAAAGTTCCATCCAGATAAATGTAAACACATGCACATTGGAAGAAGGAAATTACTTTGAAATGATTTTAGTGTTTAGTCAAGAGGATAAAGACATGTGTCATCATAGATGAACAATCAGCTTTGACAGACATATAAGCGAGAAGGTGAAAAAGGCAAACTCTATTTTTGCAATGTTAAGGCGAACGTTTCAACATATGTTGAAGAAATTTTATTCCTCTTTATAAGACACTTGTATTCACATTTAGACTATGCGAAATGGTGTTCCCTTTCAAATCAAGACACATAGAGATGATTGAAAGGAATAATTGCAGATTCTTTCATTGGCAAATTTAAGCTATGAAGAAAGGCTGAAGAAACTAAAACTACCAACGCTGTACAGGCGCCACCGTGGAGATATGATTGAAGTGTACAAAATAACAAGATGGAAAGTACACCCATTAGCATATATATTGTAGAGACATTTCTTTCAAGAAGATGTTTGTACAGAGACCGTTAAATATGAAAATTCAGCTATGTTAGAACTGTCACATTAACTTCCAAAATATCAAACATTAAACTTTCATAGACTATTTCAACTTTATATCAAATGTGCCCTACAAAGTATTTTTTAAAATCTTATACCGGCTAAGTAGTTTTGTTTTGGAGTCGAGGAAATGGACCTTGACAGGACCTGTGTTGGAAAAATACCATAAAAAATACCATAAAAAAAAAAAAAAAATACCATCGATATATCGCTGTATCGTTACACTATGATAAAAGTGAACAATTCTTTTCAATTTGGTATACTTATCATAATGTGATTTAATGGTCGCAAACTGAGTTTTATCAGCGACAGTTATTCCCATTCTAATGCAATCCATGCATTTTGTTTGTTGTTTACGTCTTCTTTTGTTGAGTTTCGTTATATAAAATATGTCATGGAGCATTGAGTTTTTGCGTAGCTCTATTATGACGTCACAATGAAATGATTTCACTCACGTTATTGCTCATTTTACTGCTTCAAACTTCAGTGCATTAGCCAATCAAAACATGTTTAACAAAAACATTGCATAAGAATATCATATTAAATGTACAGTATCATCAAGACAAGGAGGTTTAACATATTTATAATTCCAATCTTAATTTTATTTATTGATTCCCTGTCTTTTGATTGGACGAAAACAAATTCAAGAAAAAGTTTACACATCGATGAATTCTTATATACTTTCTTGACTGTGTAAAAACATTGAAAACAGAATTCTAGTCCGTTTTAGCAGGAAATAAAAATGAATGAATGAATGATTTTTCAATGAATGAAAAAAAATGCTGGACTGACAAAATTAAATTATTTATATACTGTGAAATGTGAATTTTAAAAAATCGAATGCTGTCTTTTTCGGAGTTCAATATCAGCTCAGTTGGTATCGTTGTGACAAAAAAAACGTCTTGACTCTTGTCTTTTTAGCATCAAATTCACATGTTTACATCCTACATATCCCAATTTTCTTTCTTGATTGATATACAAATCGAGGACATCGTCGGTCTGCATCTTTCGTTATGACGTTGTTCAACTTGTTGTTAAAATGTCAACATGACCATGGTCAAGGACGAATTATTGAAATCGCGTATTTACGATATTTGTTGACTTAAACAACATTCAGTGTGTTTTTATAAGTTTATTTATTGATTGTTTACAGTTTAAGTTGGATTTTATTGATATCCATCTTGTATATACGTTTCTTTGCGGCATAAAGTATTCCTACGCCGTACAAAATAACGGATTGTATGGCGGCCTCAAAGGGAAATAATTTGTAATTTAAAAAAATTCGTAATTGGAATTATACGTCTTCTTTTGTTGAGTTTCGTTATATAAAATATGTCATTTACATAAAAGTGCTTCGCACTTTTATTCAGTTTGTCAATATATTGCAGAGTTTACACATCGATAAATTCTGAAAAAAGAACGTTTAATCCTATAATAATTCCAATCTTAATTTTATTTATCGATTCCCTGTGTTCTGATTGGACGAAAACAAATTCAAGAAAAAGTTTACACATCGATGAATTCTTCAATCAGAACTACTTTCTTGACTGTTGTAAAAACAATGAAAACAGATACTTCTAGTCCGTTTTAGCTACAAGAAACTTGAAATAAAAAATAAATGAATGATGGAATGAATAAACAAGGACTGACAGACGGGAATATTATGTTTATGTCACTGTCGCATCACGAGTGTGAATTTTAAAAACTCGCTGATCATGCTGTCATTTTCTCGACGTTCCATATCAGCTCAGTTGGTATCGTTGTGATAGGGAAAAGAAACGTACCTCAATATAGCCTTTCTGGCATCAAATTCATATGTTTACATCCTACATTGAAAATCTTTGAACGAACCAGAGCAAATCGAGGACATCGTCGGTCTTCAACTTTCGTCATGACGTCAACATGGCCATGGTCAAGGACGAATTATTCGCAATACGCGTATTTACGATATTTGTTGACTTAAACAACATTCAATGAATTTTTACATAAGTTTATTTATTGATTGTTTTGACAATTTAAGTTGGATTTTATCGATATTCATCTTGTACACGTTTCTTTGTGGCATCAGTGGCATTAAAGTATTCCTACGCCGTACAAAGTAACGGATTGTATGGCGGCCTCAAAGGGAAATAATTTTAATAATTTAAAAACTTCGTAATTGGAATTATAAGAATTAAACGCTTTAGCCAATCGATGTGTAAACATGTTTAACAAAAACTTTACATAAAAGTGCTTCGCACTTTTATTCATATTAAAAAAAGTAGAGTTTACACATCAAACAAGGAGGTTTAACATATAATAACCCCAAGATGGGGTGACTGATGTAAAAAGCTTCATAGCTATGACATAACTTGATAAAAAGGTTATATTTATATTTTCTATTATTTAATATTCTTTTAAAGGTTGTTAAACTTTAAAGCTCAAAATGGCAAACCTGGGATATTTTGGACAAATGGTATGTATAATTTGTATTCCCTTGAATTTATTTCTGGAACCACAGTGTTTATGATTTGTAAGAAAACTTTTGATGCATCAAGCAGTTACAGTTGATAAGTGACATTGTGTACAGTATTTGATCATGTTAACAGCTTGTGCCATTACTCTGATAATCAATTTTGCAAACCATTCCTTAAAATACTTAAAATTGCAGATTGATAAAATTGTAAATTTTTTTTTCAGAACAACAGAAGAAGCCTCTGAAGAAGGTAAAAACAGTCACATGCAGAATCCACAGTCTCATTGGTTCTATGTATATTTAACTTATACATGTTGCTTAACTTTGAAATTCCCAGTATTTCTGTCTAAAAAATCTAGTGTCTCTGCTAGAGGCAGTACCTTTTAAATAAGCATATCTTTAAGATGGATCAGCGTTTCATGTTCCCTCTATCATCAGATCATTTATAGTTGTCTTTTAGAACCCTCTCTGCACCTGTACACTGCACACTAGAGAGGATTCTATGGTATCGTTTTGCAGTTAGAGTGATCTGCCCTTGCATCTAAATTCTAAAATATAAAATTTACAGTATATTACTCAATTTGTAATCAATTAAAGTTTTCTAAACATTTTTAAAAGCCAAAATAAATTAATTGAAAATGTTTATTACGTGAATTTTCTCTGTGGAAGTAAACAACTATGATTTCTATTCACTGATACTGTGTTGTGTTTGATCATTTTTCCTTGGGATAAATGCCATGCACCATATAGTGAAAATTAAATAGATAAGTTCAACACAGTTTATTACTTTCATGCAATATATTTTCCTTGTAATGTCCAAAAAAAAATTTGTACTGGTGTGAGAGGGTCCTTAACTAAATACTTAGAAGAAACATGATGTATATGAGACACATATAAACTATATCTTATCTAGGACACAAAGAAGACAGTAAGTGGGATATATTTTTCAAATGCATGCTGAACCTACGTCATGTACTATATAACTTGGAAATACATTTAATGGGTATCTAATGGTTTTTATTGAATTAAGAGAAAGCATGATTACAATACTAATTACATGTTTACAAGTAATATTTTTGAAGTTCTACATGTGTATACAGTATAAAATAATATCCGGTTTTCACGTTTTAGCAATACCAATACAACGTAGTGTCTATATTATCTATATTATAATAAAAAGTTTTCAAAGCACATACACATGTACATGTAACACAATATAATGTTGGAAGTGAGATGAATATAGTAGCCTAAAATTTAAGCCCCCACCCTCCTTTGTTACAGTATTTTAGTAGATATGTAGAGTATTATGATCTAAATTTTGTAACCATCCTTGGTTTGGTATTCATCATTAAATAATTGTTACATTTAATTTTGGGTCTCAGGAAGTCTCTTTGTTTTAATAAATAAGTTACATCTTTTCTATATTGTAGCACAAAGCATTGCTCATCATAACTGTTTTCAAATTCTGACCAAGGCAGATTGCATGTAATAGGCCATGAATGATAGATTTAACTTGTTCAATTGACACAGGATTGAATTTGTGAACCTGTTTGATAATTTTAATTGCACTACCCATGTTTATGTTTCCAGTGTAATTCACTGCATGATACTGTATTGCATTTAATACATTTGTTCTGTATGTCCTAATGTTTTCTTTGTTGAAACACATATCATTCTACATATTATGTCATTGGATTGAATATCACTTTGAGGTCTTTATACACAACTCATCTGTACCGGTACATTTTTTGAAATTCACTTCATGCTGTGATTTACTTCGGTAAATCCTTAACCTTTACTTTTATGTAAATATATTATTTTCTTTATTTAAAACTTACATGTAATTAGTTTAACTTATCTAACATGAAAGTTATCTTAATTATCATGATTATTCAAGACATTCACTGGAATAATACCATAATGCCATTTAAACATGCTTTAAACATTTTAATTAACATGCCAGTCAATGTAGCGAGACTTTAACAGATTTACTAAGAGATAAGGATATTTTTTCTAGAATAAACAATCAAATTAGCAGAATGAAAATTTAATTTCAATTAAAAGTTATAAATAAAATGAACTCTCAATGTTTGATGTGACTATGCCCTGGAATAGCATATTATGAAATGAAAAGATTTAACAATATTAATATTTTGTAAATTGTAAATAACTTGATTTCCTAGGTTGACTACAAAACAAGAAAACAGCCGTTTGAAATACGACATCATCCCAAAAACTATGACAGAATAGAACCAGAGGTTGACAATATTCTTAAACCTCTACCAGATGACAAGCCAAAGGAACCAGAGAAACCGAAAAAGCCAGCCAAAAACTTCATCCAGAAGAACCGAGAAAGACTAGGCAAGGGCAAGAAAGGGAAGGAGGATGAAAAGGATGGGACGGTGACCTTGACCCAGGAGCAGCTGAACGCTATTTTAGCTTCAGTGGGAAAGGTAGCCTCGGGAGAGGAGGAGAAACTAAAAATACATATAGGTGAGTCACATACAGGAGAAACTATGAATACATATAGGTAAGGGACATACTATATACTGTATACAGGGAAATTTTTGCCCCTGTTTTATTTTTGGCCCTTTTGCCCTTTTCAAAAGTGGTCAAATTTAAAACGTGGTGAATTCAAAAAACACAGTATAAATTCTTAATTATTACTGGGACTGGGCGAATTTAAAACGGGGCAGATTTGTAAGCAAGTGTAAAAGGGCAAAAATAACCATGTTTACAGTAATTAACAAACGTCTATTAATTTTGTTTTATACAATTGCATGAAATTTGCCTTGCTTCTTAAGAATTTATATGCATCAAGAATTGTTTCAATGAATCACCTGATCATTATGTTTAAAAATTTAGTAATTTAAACAATAGAATGGTGCAGAAGAGAGTGTATAATATAAACAGTTATAAATAAAATCTATTGTAGATTCAGAGCACAATGAGGTGACGATAGAATCCCCCCGTAGGAGGGAGCACAGTGATGATGAAACAGAAAAGCACCACAGAGACCGGTCAGAGAAAGAGAATGGTCACTCCAAGTCCAGAAAAGACCGTAGGAAGAAGGAGGATGATAGTATCTATGCTTTAATGGGCGGAGACACAAATCGGTCCAAGAAAGACAGGTGAATAGTCCACAGTGTTGTCTAATTCTTCTGTGTGACTTACATCTAAAGATTTTATCACTTTTCACTTTAAAAGTTTTACCAGAAGTAGGTTTTTTGTGAAAATAGATAAATATTTCACAGATGCACATCAATGAATTCTTTAACAAAGATTTTGTAGTTGTGCATGCCTTACAAGCAAATAATTAATGTGTGAATATCAGTTCTTTGCACATTAATTTAGTTAATCGGTGTGTTTCATCTTTCTCTGTTTTGCTTTTAATATGATAATTTGATGCCTCACCTTTCAATACGTAGAATTTAAATGCACAATAAATATGTATTAGCTTGTTTGAGTGGATGATTAATTTTGCATGCACAGGGACCGGAGAACCGAGCGTGATGGATCGGATGAGCGAGATCATCATCACAGAAGGTCACGGGATGACTCACGAGAACGGTATAGGACTCTCTGTCAGATCAAATGTTAATGTACTTTATGATAGCTATAGATGTATATACAAATCTTATTCACTTGAATGTTATCTATTTTGATTTATTTTACTCCATGTACATCTTTAATGGTGGGTATACCTCAGTCTTTTTATTGCATTTTTGGATCCAAACCTGATAAAGACTTAAGTAATTTAAAGTAAAAGATAAAATTTTTTGCAATCTTCATTTTATTTCTTGGATGAAGGCAGACCAACTAATTATTGTTCAATTTAAATACATTAGTTGATTGACAATTTTCTCATTGGTCCATCTTTTTGTGCAAGTAATTAACTACCTGTGTACACAATAGTGAAGCATAGTGTTTTATTAACAAAAAGATATATTGTTTACAGACACAGGAAAACAGAGCATGACTACTCAGAAGAAAGAAGCTCTCATCGAGACAGGAGATCTCACGATGACTCGAGAGATAGAAACCATTCCCGAGAAAGGTACAAAAACTATCGTGATAGAGATCGTAATCAGGATCGTGAGAGGGAGAGGCATCCCGGCTACGACCCTGATTACGATCGTAAAAAGAAACAGGAAGACTCGACAGAGAGGATTCTAAAAGATCTGCGACAGAAAGCAGAGGATCAACTCGAGAAGAGCCGGGGAAATGACAGACTCAGAGAATCCAAGTCTAAAGAGAATGATATTAGGGACTCCAAAAAGTATGAATCCACAAACCATCTTTCACCTGACCCTAACATTGAAAATATCTCCCCCCGAGAGATAGCTGGTATCCCTGTGTCCCTCCCCTGGAAGCACATGACTGTAGCCGAAAGGCGGAGGTTAATGATTGCTCGAGAGAAGGTTATAGCAGAGGCTGAAAAGTAAGACTGATTCCGCAGTACTGCCAGCACTGATCTGCTGCCTTGTGTATTTGCCTTGCTGTAGCACCCACATCGTGCTTTGCATTCTATGTAACATAGTCCTCTGTAGTTATTTTGCACACCTTTTTCATTTTCTCAAATAGATCACCAGAATTCTTATCTAGTTATCAAAAGATCATTTGAATTTTTATGTGCCCGGATCGATAGATCCAAGGCGTATATTGTTTTTGTCCTGTCTGTTTGTCTGTTTATCTGTTTGTCTGTTTGTCTGTTGTCAACTTTAACCTTCGCCATAACTTTTGAACCATGAGAGATAGAGACTTCATATTTGGTATGCCTACTTCACCAATGAAGCTCTTGCAAATGACACCAAGGTCAATGACCTTGTGACCTTGACTGTGACCTATATGCTAAAAATAGCTTTTTCGAACTTTCGCCGTAACTTTTGAACCATGAGAGATAGAGACTTCATAACTCCACCAATGAAGCTCTTGCAAATGACACCAAGGTCAATGACCTTGTGACCTTGACTTTGACTTATATGCTAAAAATAGTTTTTTTTAACTTTGATGCCGCCGGGCGCATAGTGTTTCACAAACACATTTTGTTTTTTCATTGTAGTAATTAAGTTTAGACTTTGTTTGATAAAACTTGAACCATTTGATGAATAGTTAAAAAATTTATCACATTCTGTTTGTCTTACGTAATCACTCTATTTCATTTAGGTTAATCAAAAATGCATGTCATTGTCATTCTTTCCCCTGCAGATTTTAGATGTATTTTATGTGTTTGACTATGCATCTTTGACTGGCACTATAGGTGATTAGTTATCCAGGTTCAATCAAGGGTGTATGGGGATTTATCCCGGGTTTTATTCCATACACCCAAAGGCCAAAAGGGTGTATGGAATACAACCCAGGGTAAATCCCCGTACACCCTTGATTGGACCTGGATAATGAATTTATTTCTTATGTACCCATAAAAATTCTTTGTAAACATCAGAGTGTGTCAATCTATCGATAAGATAACTATGTACTACAATGCATCGTGAAGTCATGTTATTCGGTTTTTATCATAGAGAATGTATGCATTGTGACGTCACGTTGTATTTACACTCGGCTCAAGTCGGGTGCACGGATATCTACACCAGACTTTGTAACAAATCAAAGCTCGTGTTACAAGCTACATAGGAAATAAACCTTCTTATCACATTATCATACTTCTTGCATTAATGATGATTGGCCACTATAGGGCTGTGTCTGTAACTGTCAACAAGCTTTCTGCAGTGGTAGAGGATGTATTTTATTTTACATGGTGTGTGTGTTTGTTAGTGTATTGGTAGAGGCACATCTATATGATTTTTTGGCATTTTATTTATATGCAACATTGGTGGAGGTATATGTAATGTGTACATTCATTCTCTTTTACATGTAAGAAATTTGTTTTTATGAACAACAAAAATATATATAGGGAAATATGAGTGACTTACCATAATGTACCAGAAAAGAAACAAAAAGATAATTGTTGATAATTTTTAATTTTACAGTGATCAGTAGACACATGAAATGAACTAATAAAATCGTAATTCAAACGAAATAAGTTTTATCAACAATTTTTAAGTATGCTTTGAATATGAACTTACCTGTCCATAGCCCCTGTTACAGAAAGGGTTTTATTTTAAACATTGTGTTGTAGGAGAAAGGAGGAGGGAGTGAAATCTAAGTGGAGGGAAATGGTGAAGGAGGAAACTGAGAAGTTAGAGACCAGGAAAAAGAAGGAGAGCAGAAGACGCAGTCCCAGCTACTCACCTCCGCGGTCTCGAGATGGCTCAGGGGATAGGAGGCGAGACAATTCTAGGGATCGCAGAGAACGGTCGCGAGAAAGGAGGCGAGAAAGGGTATCACCATCTGACAGACGCGAGTCCAGATCAAGGGAAAGGAGGCGCAGGTCACCGTCAGATGATCGCAGGGAATCTCACCGAGAGAGGCGAAACTCAAGGGAGAGATCTCGTGATGACTCGTCAGACAGATCGAGACATAGGTCTCGGAGGCGGTCTCCCTCACCGTCCAATCGACAGGAGGACAAGACCAGCAACACTAGTGTAGCAACAAATGTCAGCACCAGGCCCCCCACAAATATGTCACTAGCGGAGAAAAAGAGGCTACAGTGGGAAAGGGAAAGAGGTACTGGGATCATGTCTACTGGCTTATAAATAGTAATGTATGGGTTACTAATTCTTAATGATTTTTCATATATAGTAAAGGTGTGTTATCTGTCAATTTTAACTGTCTGATTTTGTAGCGGAGTCACAAGTGGGATACACCCCCTGGGGAAAGCCTGGAGCAGGTGCCCCTCTGAGGACCAAGTCTGGGAAGCTGGCCGCGGACTACAGAGCTAGACAGGTGTTTAAATGTGCTAGTGGCCGTAAAATGGTCTACATGGACTAAACGTGTTAGATTTAGACATGATCTCAGGTTGTAATGGGAGGATTTGATACATAACGGTAGACGGTATCTTATAAAAGAAAAACAGCGAGGGGTGGGGAAATACTTAATCTTGAAGATGACGTTTGGAATATTTATGTCTCTAGAAATATAAAATGAAATATAATGAATGAAGTATTATCATGATTAATGCTACACAATCACTATTGCATAGTGCTTATAAACAAAATACAACGAGGTTATTAGAACTTGATATAATTTATAATTATGATTTTTTTTTGACTGACTAGTCTCCTTTGTTATAATATTAGGTTTTCAACAAGGTAAAAAATTTTACAGCAAGTTTAGCTTATCATGTTAGAGAATATTATTTCAATGCCTTTAAAGAGCTTTTTGTGTGTCTCACCTCATCTTCAGCAGACTTGATGGCTTTCTCTAGCTTCTTTCTAATTCTGTAAAGGAGGGGGGGGGGGGTCAAGTTCTCCTAATGGGTGCAGTCGAATTCAATGGCATGCAACTACTGCAAGCATATTTTCTCTTGAGGATAGGAAAACTTGTACATTTATATTATGTGCCATTTATGTTGATTCCTTGATGGAAATGAACATCAGCATTGTACCTTATTGCAAGGAAGTTAACAACAGTCTCTGTTTACACATGTACATGAAGGGCTGTTTTAAAAAGTCCAACCTTGTGTATGGTAACTTAGATGAAGTGTAAACATGTTGCAAGATCATGAATTGGATTTGAAGTAATTCTTCCTTGCTCACTCGACATAAAAGCACCAAAGTCTGGATCTAGTGGGATCTTTTTTTTTTCAAGCTACTGAAGTTTCACTGTCTCAGACTATTTGCTTATTATGTTCCCCAAACGAAGTTGGGGAACATATTGTTTTTACTCTGTTTCTTATTATTAAGGTCTTCCGTCTTCAGCGGAAGACCTTCTTGTTATTCGTTTGTTTCTTTTCCACTGTTTTTCTTATTATTTTTTTTCTTACCGATTTTGTGCACGCGATTTCTCGAAAACGGCTAGTTAGATTTTTATGAAACTTTCAGGTCTGATAGAACATATAAAAATCTCGATACCCTTTTTTTTATTTTGATGACGTCACTTCCGGTTCAGAGATTTTCGAAGTTTTGTGATTTTTAAGGGTCAGTTTGTCCGTCGCTCTTCTTAAAAACCGCTCATCACAGGAAGATGAAACCTTTTCAGGAAGATAGAGCAACATATGTAGATTTGCATTGTGTTGTTAACTTTCACCGGAAGTACTGCACGTTAACACTCGGTATGGACTGAAAAAAGTCATATTGAGCGTTTCAAAATTTCTAACACTTTTTCTATTATATCATTTTACTTGTAAATATTTTGTTAAAACATATAGAACAAAAGTTGTGAAGAATTTTGAGATCTTTCAATTGATATCTCGAAAAAAGGGCTGACCCCTAAAATAAGGGATCTAGAGGGGCCAAAAGTGTTTAATTGATATCTCAAAAAGTATTGAGAATTTGTAATACGTCAAAGAAGCAAAGTTGTTCAAAATGTAAAGCTTAATCTATTTGTGTCGTCAAAATACGTCCGGCTTCGTCACTTCCGGTCAAACCGGAAGTAGTCAAAAACGTGTATTTTTGCCGTTCTTGTCAAGTTTTTGGGTAACATATGTCTCTGGGAGCATAAAAATTAATTTTCAGTCCGTCTTCATCACTTCCGGTTCAACCGGAAGTAGCAAAAATTTGCATATTTTTGCATTAATTAACATAGCTTTAGAGGAATCAAACATTTTAGGCGTTATTTCTCATTATTGTTAAAAATGAAAGCTACTTCCGGTCAAACAGGACGGAAGACCTACCCGTTGCTTTGCAACGAGCTCGGCTCTAGTTATTATTATTATTATTATTATTAAGGTCTTCCGTTTCCAACGGAAGACCTTATTGTTTTCGTTCGGTTTCTTTTTCCCTATTATTATTATTTTTTTCTTACCGATTTTTGTGCACGCGAGTTCTCGGAAACGGCTCAGTCGATTTTCTTGAAACTTTCAGATCTAATAGATATTGATCTGAACCTTATTGGAAATTTTTATATTGATGACGCCACTTCCGGTTGTGAGATATGGTCGATTTTCTAATTTTCAGAGGGTCGGCTTGTCCAGGAAACTCCTCCTAAACGACATAAGATATCGACTTAAGATTTTCAGTGAAAATAGAAGAAGGTTTGGCGAGTTGTAATTGGGTCTCCAAATCTTTCTAGCGCAAAAGGCGCCAGAGCTTGGTAGGGTCCGAAAAAATGTCTCAGAAATATCTCACAAAATTTCACACATTTTGTTTCATATCTTCATACCTGTTAATAATTTGTGAAAGCATATTGAAGAAAAAATGTGCAAAATCACAAGACCTTTCATTTGATATCAAGAAAATTGGGCTGACCTCTCAAATTAGGGGCTCAGAGGGGCAAAAAGTCTTTTATCTATAACTCTCTAATGATAAATATTTTGTTATACATTACTGAAACAAAAGTATTCATCTTAACAATTTACAACAATATATGATAAGATTTTGATCATATCTTACGTAATTAGGGGTCAGAAGGGGCCAGAATATTAAATCTTTGACGCTTTATATCTCAAAAAGGAGGAATATTTTGATAAGCAATATTGAACAAAAGATAGTCAGAATGATGTTCTAAACAATATCCATGCTTCAAATTTTTGTAAAACGGCCCCGTTAAGGACTTGTAAGGGTGGCCCCTAAATATTTCCATTTAGCATATCTCCATAACAAATAGAAATCTCTGAATAAGTGCTGAACAAAAAATCTTCAAAATCACGAGACCTTTCAATTGATGTCAAGAAAATGGGGCTGACCCCTCAAATTAGGGGCTCAGAGGGGCAAAAAGTCTTTTATCTATAACTCTCTAATGATCAATATTTTGTTATACATTACTGAAGCAAAAGTATTCATCTTAACAATTTGCAACAATATATGATAAGATTTTGATCATATGTTAGGTAATTAGGGGTCAGAAGGGGCCAGAATGTCAAATCTTTGACGCTTTATATCTCAAAAAGGGGGAATATTCTAATAAGCAATATTGAACAACAGATGGTCAGAATGATGTTCTAAACAATATGCATACTTCAAATTTTTGTGAAACGACCCCATAAAGGACTTGGAGGGGTGGCCCTTAAATATTTCCATTTAGCATATCTCTACAACAAATAAAAATCTCTGAAATAAATCTAAACAAAAAATCTTCAAAATCACAAGACCTTTCATTTGATACCAAGAAAATGAGGATGACCCCTTAAATTAGGGGCTCAAAGGGGCCAAAAGTCTTTTATCTATAACTCTATAATGATCAATATTTTGTTATACATTAATGAAGCAAAAGTATTCATCTTAATAATTTGCAACAATATATTAAAAAAATTTGGTTATATCTTACGTAATAAGGGTTGCAAGGAACCAAAATGCTATATTTTTTATGCTTTACGTTTCTAAAAGGGGAGCATTTTTATAAGCCATATTGGACAAAAGATGTTCAGAATATCATGATAAAAATCAGAAACTTTAAATTTAATGAAGGATAACTTAATGTCATTCTCTTTAAACAAATATCTCAGTCAAAATCACATCTTCGCTTCTGGTGCCAAGTTATGGACAATATCCTGATTTTAAAATGCGATTTTGTCGCCCCTTTTTATAGAAAATGGCTAAGGATATGAACTGGAGACTTATTGGAGATGATAGATCATGACTTTGTGGTTTGCAGAATTGCCTTTTCGTGCGTCGTCAGTACTTCCGGTCGTTACCAATTGCAAACTTAAAAAAATCGTATTTTCTAACTTTTTTGTTTTTCAGTATTTTTCATTTATATTTGGTATGGTAGTAGAAGCCCTCCGTATAATGCTTACTATTTAATTTGTTTGAATGTTGATAAATCTAAAGTCTAGATATTTGCATTCAAAAATCTGAAGCGGGTCCAAAATGGCGGCTGTCTCTGTCAACTCCGCCATTTCGCGAGTAGGGGTTTATGGAGGCAGCTGAGCGTTTGATTAAACAATTCTGACATAAGGATACATGAAATGTAGAAAACTACTTCGACTCTCACGTAGTATTAAATGGTTGGAGGAGTTACCTCCCGTTACTTGTTTATATTATAATAGATAATCAATGTAAATATTGTAATTAATTGGTCAATTGACTAAAGAATTAAACAAGTATTATTGATAAATGATGTTCTGTTAGAAAATAATAATGGTGTTACCAAAAGAAAGACAGTCTGTTTTATTTTATCAATATGATATCTGATAACTTATTATCATTGATTAAGTTGAGGTACACGGGGGCAGTACAGCCAACTGGCTTGTGTCTTCACTTTGGTACAGAAACAAATTGGTTTATCGATCAAAGAGGATTGTGCAAAGTTGCCGTAGTCAGTGACTAGTTAAAAGGTAGCTGTGTGGCATTAGTTATAGGTTTGTCATTAGGACAGAGAAGCTCTTACAAAGTTAAATCATACTGTGTAAGTATATTGTAGCCACTTGGCTAGAGTTATATAGGCAACTTGGTAAGCAGTTATACACCAGGCAGATGTTAAAGGCTAAATCAAGAGGCACCAGGCAGATAGATGTTGACTTATATAGTCAGTTTTACGAGTATAGTGAGGCAATTATCATATGGCACCAGGCAGGTGCCGGTATTAACTGAAGATATGTAATTATACAAAGCACTTAGGTCATTTGATTTAAAGACACCAGGCAGGTGTCATATTATTATCTGTATATATTGCATTCAATCATATCCCTAGTAAAACTTGGTAATCCGAGCACGGACCTACTGACCGCTCAGATCCGACACGTTACAGTAGTACGTTGCAATTGAGTGTCAATCTTAAAACTTAATTCACTGCTTTAGTGTAACTGGGCTAGATACGATATGTAATGTGTATAATGTGTTACATAC